CCCGAACTCGTGCAGCAGTCCTTCCTGGTGGCCAGCGTGCTGCCGGGGCCGGACGGCACGGCCAACTCGGCCACGCGCAACGCCGACATGCAGGAGGAGCTGATCGCGGCGCTGGAGGAGCAGCTGAAGTTGGGCGAGGAGCAGCAGCTGCAGGAGGCGGCGGAGGGAGAGGATCAGCCCCAGAACGAGGAGTGCGCCGACCCCGAGATCCTGCACCAGCTCTTCGAGGGGGAGAGCGAGACTGAGTCGTTTTACGGCTTCGAAGACGCCGAGTTGGATCTGATGGAAATCTGAGCACTGATCTGCGAGCTGGTGATCTGGAAAGGGTTGTTTTTTCAATAAATGTTGGATGAGACCATTACACTTCCCTGTGGATTTGTGGGTTTAGGAAATTTGTAGGCGATCACTCAGATAAATAGCCATTTATGCTGTTCATTTATAAGTTTTGTGCTTTTTTAAAGAAAAATCACTGTGTTGGTATTTTCTGAAAATATATTGTGGGTGAATATTTTTGCGTTTTCTTTACCTCACTGTATCATAGTTTTCTGTTTTTATTGTGCAGAAATGTTTTGAATTATACATTGTCAATGTGACCATTTCTAAAGAAAGGAGAACAGATGTAGCTGACGAACCGGTATATAAACCTTTTGGATGTCTTAACACAGGTTGTTTTTTTTTTAACACTTGACCCGGAGCTTTAGGTTTCTGTGCTGAATTTAGGTATGAACGATTGCTTTAGCGTGTGAACCTCCTACAGTTGGCCCTTGCGAGTTGGGTTTGGTTTGCTTTTTCTTTCTTTTTAATTTTATTTTCTTTTAAAGAGTAATTCCTTGGCTTGTGAGCTGGGACGCGGGATCCGAGCACAAGCGGAAGCGTTTTGCCTGCGCAACGCCGGCGATGGTTGTGGAGCCCCGGCGCTGCCGCGCGGTCGGGTCGGGTCGGTCCTCCATGGGAGCCACCGGCAGCACCGCGCTCCAAAGAGTCCCGAGAGTGCAGATGGAGGAGGGAAGCCGAGGCTGCCTTGGTCTTCCCCTGTAGATGGGAGCTAAATGTATGGACCATTAAGCGTTGATTAACGACGAGTAGTTGATAAACGTGCTTTAAGCAGTGGCATCAGACACTACGTTCCTTAGCATTAGAAATCTGATTTAACGAAACAAACTGTGACATGCACAAAAAGAAGACGTTTGTTTTTATTTTTCACTGCCAGCTTAAATTTTTCTACAATTTGCATGTTTGAGGGTTTTTTAATTGTATGTATTACGGTATAAGCGGAAGCATTTTGACATACAGAATTCGGAAGCACCTGCACCTTTCTGTTTCCATAGAGGTTTTGTGAACCTGCCCTATGACCTAAGGAAAGCAGGAGGCAGCATGTGCAGACCTGTAAATGGTTCATCTTTAAAATGTACATACGTGGAACATTTAATAAAACCAGGGAAATGGATTTATAAACACGCGTTTTTATTACGGAGAGCTGCCCAGCCGCTGGGATGCCGCCGTGCCTCAGGAGGACGTGGAGCAGAGCAGAGCTCCGAGATTGGAGCGCGGCGTAACGCCTGGGGCAGGATTCTGTCGGTGGTAGCAATGCCACCCGTAGCGTTCATAAATGGTGTGGGGCCGAGAAATTCCCACTTCCAGAGGAATGTGGCACGAGCTGCACTAAGTGGGTTATTGCAATGCCCCACTGCCGGAGCAACTCGTGCTCCTGTACATTTCTCTTTAATTAGGGCAAGTGGTGAAGCAGCTGTGCATTTCACTCAGGACTCAGCACATGGGAAGTGAACAGGCATCAGCCAGGACCAGAACCAACTGGGGTCCCACAGTGAGTCCTTCAGCTGCCATCAGCGCCACCTGGGAACGCAGAAACCTCCACTACAACACAGAGGGGGAAAAAGCTTTGTCACCTTTGGCAGAAATGAGCTCACGGTGTTAAAGGAGGCGGTGAAAGAGCACTTTGACCCAAGATGGTCTGATAAAGGCATGGCCAAGGGGAGGAGGACTGTAATTGTCTTCAGTGGACAACGCCTACCAGAAAACGTTCAGCAAACAAACAACAAAAGAACATTTTTGCTGCCCTTCCCCAGGAACAAAGGACTCAGCTCTCAGACACCTTCCTGCAGCACAGGCGTGTTTTGAGGAGTCAGAACCTTCAATTCTGGACACAGCACAAACACAGAGGTCATCTCAACAGGTTTATTTCATCTCCAAAAGAAACGGGAACTTCAAAAGGCGTTTTCTGATGTATATCACCCAGAAGCAGGACGCAACAAAGCAGTTCTGCAGAGATCACTCGAAGCCACTGCAAGAAGAGTGATTATAGGGTCAGGGTGTGACACAACGGGGACGTGGCCCACGCACGCACCACCACAACCAGAGCAGAGCTTTGTGCTGAAGAGGTGCAAAGAGCAAAATCTCAGAAGGCCCATCAGTGAGAAGCTCTCTGCTGCCCAGCCATTCCCTGGCCAAGAGAGGATGTTGCTGCAGCAGGGAATCGGTGAGACCTCAACTGCAGCATAAGGGAGAGATGCTGAGCTGCAGCGGGCGCCTGTCACCTACCCACACCTTCACCACTTTGTGCCCTTGCTTTTTGCAGACTGACAGCACACGGAGCTATGTCGCCTGCTCATTACCTGACGAGGTGTGCGATGTCCCAGCTGGCCTCCAGGGTCAGTGGTCCCTCCACCTCCACTCCCTTCTCTGTTACAATGGCGACTTCATACTGAAGAGAAGAAACAGTAGAAGCTTTCAGTAATGTCCGATCTCCAGACTTGGATTTATGATGGGCCCTACGAAAGCCCTCATTATTCACTGCCAATAATGATCACTGAGTCCAACTCAGTGTTACGGGTCCGTCCAACTTGGGACATCTGATGATTTACGATTCATTTGCTTTAATGTGGCTCTGCATTCAGTAATGTCTGTCTTTGTCCTGCGTGGACAGTGGAGTTGGCTCACTCTGGTGAGAACCTTCCCAAAGCTACAGGATTTCAGCTCTGGGTGTCACTGTGAAGGAGATGGGAGATTAAGCACAAAGCTCTGCAGCCAACGTGCAGCACTCACTCTGTTGAAGGACCGAGCGTCTCTGTAGTACAAAATCTTCATGCAGCGCTCGATCAAGTCGCGGGCTTCCTCCTTGGTCAGGCTGGGCTTCTTCTCCAAGGTTTCTCTCATCAACGGCTGAAAAAAAGTCATCAAACCCAACAGCTCAAGTCACCCAGCACCAAGGTTGCTGCTTCATTGTGCTCCACGTTCCCACTTGTGAGCACTAACCTGCGCCAGGTACGCGCCATACCCCGTAGCGAGCGTTGGGGCTTCGTAGGCCACACCAAGCATGTCCACGTAACCAAGGAAGCTGAAGGACAGAGCTGTGAGCATCACTGCTGCACGAGGGGAGGGCGCCCAGAGCACAGCTCCTAGCCAGGGGAACCCAACCAACAGAACTGGGCTGGTGGGGTCACCCCCAGTGTCTCACGTCCCTTGTCCTCACCTCTCACCGTTGTAGAACCCTCCAATAACAACAGTGTTCCACAGTGGGTTGATCTTGGACCTCCGGTTGTACATGACTCTGGTCAGCCAGGAATGAATGGCTTTGGGGCTGTAACTGTGGCCGTCTCCCAGCAGTTCCTCATCAATGCTAAAGCAGGGAGAAAAAAAAATCGCTCAACTCAGAGGAGCCGGGAGCCACCTGGCCAGCCACCAGCCCACCTCCAGCCGTACTGTGAGCAGGACAAGGGATCACAGAATAGAATCATAGAATCATGAAGTTTGGAAAAGACTCCAAGATCATCAGGCGCAGCCCCAACCCATCACCGCTCAGAATCATTAGGGTTGGAGAAGATCTCCGATATCACCAAATCCAACCATGAAGCCATCTGTAACCACTAAACCACATCCACCCTTCTCTTGAAAACCTCACACCAACTCCCTGTGGGCTGCCTAGAAACGGGAACTTACACCAGGAGAGGCGGCCCCAGGCCAGCAGTGAATGAAGGACAAGGAGCTGGACGATCCCAGCGAGTCCCTTCAAACTCAAGATGCGGTGCCTGGAAGCAGAGGGACTTACACCATCTGGTTGATGACCTGCGTCAGGTACTGGAAGTCGGCGTAGTCGCCGGAGGCGCCCAGCACGGTGCTGTCGTTGACCCTCAGCAGCCGGGAGATGCCGCGGAAGCGCGCGAGGGACCCGTAGGAGCCCATCATGTCCGCCGCGATGACCACGCCGCCCTCAAACTTGACGGCCAGCACCGACGTGCCCGTCACCATGGGACTCCTGCGGACCCACACGTCAGTGCCGCCCCGACCGCCCCCCCCTCCAGCCCCAGGGCCGCCTCCCCTGCCGGTGCCCCTTGCCCCCCGTGTATCCCGCAGCCCCCCGTGCTCCCATCGCCATCGCTGCCCGCACGCCCCGCACCCCGCAGCCCCGCTGCCATCCCACGCCCATCTCCGGCCCGCCCCCGCTCACAGGGTGCCGCTGTAGGGCCGCAGCCCGGCCCCGATCCCGATCCCCCCTGGGCTGTACGCTGCCCCCGGGGAGGGACCCCCGGCCCAGAACGGCGGCGGTGCGCGCGCTCCCCGGACCTCCATCTTAGTCACCGTGCCGCCGCGCTGCGCACGCGCGCCGGAAGTACGGCCTCCGCCGGCCACCGTAGTGCGAGGGGCGGGGTGGCGCCATCTTGAGGGTGGCGTGGGATGGAGAGGGTGGAGGGCGCCATGTTGGGAGTGGCGGAAGTAAGACAGAGTTGAGCTAGACAGAGAGGGCGTGATTATGGGCGTGGTTTGTACGGCTTTGCCCCACCTTAAGGCGGGGCCTGGAGCGGAGCGGCCCAATGGGAGCGCAGGGGGCGGTGCGTGGCGGAGGTAACAGGTTGGGGCGGCGGCGGAGGTGTGCGGGGTGGTGCGGAACGGTGAGTGCGGGGCTGGGGGGGACGGGGGGTCCTGACCTCACGACGGGGCCCAGAGAGGCCGGGGCATAGGGGTCAGGGTCTGCGGGTCTTGTCCTGCTCTGTGGCACAGCATATAAGGTCTGGGGCTGTAGGGGCTGCTGCCCTTAGAGTGTGTCCTGCCCTGCATTGGAGCCTATAGGGTATGGGGCTATAGGGGTCGGGGTCTGTGCAGCCTCTTCTGGCCCGTGGCAGAACCCACGGGGGCCGGAGTCATAGGGGCTGTTGTCCTTGGAACGTGTCCTGCCCTATGATGGGGTGTTATAGGTTCTGAGTCCAGAGTTACTGGGGTCCGTGCAGCATGTCCTGCCCCATGACAGAACCCAATGGGGCTGGGGGCTGTGAGTCCCGTCCTGCTCCATGGTAGAGAATATAGGGCTTGGTTCATAGGGCTGCGGTCCTTGGAGCTTGTCCTGCCCCATGGCGGAGCCCATAGGGCTGCGTCTGCTGGTGTTGTCCTTTCTGGGTGTGCTGTGCCCTGTGGCACTGCCTATAGGGCTGGGCTGCAGGGCTGCCCTTCCTGGGCCATGCCCTTCCCCACGGCAGAGCTTATAGGGATGGAGCCCTGCAGCAGGTCACGCTGGGGCTGCATAGGGGTTGCTTGACACTACGGTCTCCATAGGGTTCCCTTACAGATCCCATAGTGGCTGACTCTGCTGGGAGATGCTGTGCTCCACAGAACTCCCCAAAAGTCCTTGTTCTGGAGTGCGATGTGCTCCACAGCACATCCTGTAGGATGCCCCCCAGTAAAGGTTCTGCTCTGCTTTGGGTCTTCCTCCTCCATCTGTAGGATCCCTCGGGGACCCCCTGTCCCCTATAGCCCCCTCCCTGCCCCTGTAGGTACTCTGCCCCTTTCATAGGAGATCTGCATTTCCTTATAGACTCTCTGGGTCCCCATGAACCTCTCTACAGGCAGTGCCGTCCCCCTCCCACAGAGCCCCACTGTGATGTTCCCACAGGCACTGCTCTGTAGGGCTCCAGAGCCCCACAGATCCCATTCCTGTCCCTTTCAGGGCTGCTCTGCTTGTAAATTCCATGCGGCCTTTGTGGCTCCGTCCTTATCTCTGCTGATAAGAGCCATGTCCCAGCCCTGCTCCTCCCACCCCAAGCACTTCTGGGACTGTGGGTCCGTTCCCTCCAGACCTTGTTAGGACTGAGATAACTGTTTTGGAGCTGCCCAAGGCTGAGCCCCATCCTGCCTCATCCCACAGTTGTTCCAGGACCTCGCGGCGTCACTGGGGCCGACCTTTCCTGGCTGCGGGCAGCGTAACGCGGCACCTCCTGCATCTTTAATGCTGCCCTACTTCGCCCGGCACTCAGCTTCGGTGGGAGAGAAATGCCAAACGTGTGCATGGTGGGGTGCAATAGCCCACCCCGATCCGCCCCAGTGCTGCTGGTGCCCATGGAGCCCTAAATGCTGCTTGGCGCTGCCTCCATCCCTGCAGTGTGGGGCAGGGCTGCCCAGCTCAGCTGTCCCCGGGGTGACCCGTCCCTGTGCTCCGTGCCCGCTGTTCCAACCCTTTGTTCGGAGCGTGTGGATTGCTCTGGGCTGGGTTTGCTCCCCACCACCCTGACCAGTCAGGCTGGTTTGGAGCGCGGCTTCCAGCTTGGATCCCATAGATGAGGATCCCATAGATAACGATTCCATAGATAGCGGGGCTTCCAGCTTGGATCCCATAGATAAGGATCCTGATCCCTTAGACATGATCCCATTTAAAGTGCTGCTTCCAGGCCCGATCCCATAGATAACAATCCCACAGAAAGCACAGCTTCCAACTTGGATCCCATAGATAAGGGATCAATGCCATAGACAGTGTGATTTCCAGCTTAGATCCCGTAGATAATGATCCTACAGACAGCACGTTTTCCAGCCCTGCTCCTGTAGGCAGCAATCCCATTCAGAACGTGGCTTCCAGCCCTGACTCCATAGATGTCTATCCCATAGTACCTCCTTTTCTGGCAGTGATCCCATAGAGCGTGTGCCTTTCAGTCCCAACCCCATAGACATAGATCTGACCTCTAGGGTTGGCCATTGGGTTGGCTGTTGGGGTGGCTGTTGGGTTTGGCCACTTCTGTGGACCACGGCGTTGACCACTGGGATTGGCCATTGGGGTTGGCCGCACATGTGGACTGTTGGGGTTTGTCGTGGGGCACTGGGTTGTGACCCACTGGCAGCCATTCATTCCAGGACGGCTTTCCTCAACAACTGTTGGGTTTTAGGGCTGCGTGCCCGCCGCAGTGGGGCAGGGAGTGGGACGGGGCCATCGGTGCCCAGTTGATGATTAACCTGAGGTGACGTCCCTGGGGTGTGGGGCGGACGCGGCCCCGTGACGCGCTCCTGGTTTCGGGTTTCGGATCCTTGCGCAGCCCTGGTGTCGGTCTGGTTGCAGGCAGAGCGCTGCCAGCACGCAGAACCGTGCAGACTTTGTACCTATTGAGCAATCGGTGCTGCAGGTGGAGCAGAGCCTGTGGTGCAGAGAGCCTGAAGCGCAGGAAACGGCAGAAAAAGCGAGATTTTTGTGCTCGGATCCCGCTGTCCCCGTTCCCGTGCCTCGGGCTGGGACGTGCGGTGCCGATGGCTTTTCCCTCCCCTCCCGGCGCTGCCCGCCCGTTGCACAACAGCTCTGTGGGCTGCGGTGCCCACAAAGGGCCCTTTGTGCTCCGTATCTGCATGAGCAGAGTTGGCCGCCTGCCACACGTGGCCGCAGGGACCCAACGGGCAGAGCTAGGTGCCGTCGGGCTCTGTGGGCAAAGTGCCCCCAGGGGCAACAAACGGGGTCCCCCTTTTCGTCACCCTCATTTGCACTGCGATCCCCTCCTGGGGGCTGTGTGCTGCTGTGGGATCAGCGCTGCGTTCCCGTGTTGGAATGCAGTCTGTTCCCCTTTATCTGAGTGCTGGAGCCCAGCCAGGATGGGGCATTCCCGGGGATTAGTGCTCACCTGCTCCTGGCTCAAGCTGTGGGGCTGGACCCACTGCGTAGCCATGGAGGAAAAGAATCCATCCTTACTGCTGCACCCATAGGGTGGCAGTGGGGTGGCCATGGGGATAGCATGACTGTGGGGAACCCATAGGATGGCCACAGGGAAATGGTGCCGTGGTTGACCATAGGGACACAGTGTTCATGGGAAAACCATGACTGTGGGGTGGCCATAACTTGACCATAGGGTGACCGCAGGGTGACCATGAGGACATTTGGGATCTGGTGCCGATCTCGTTCCTGTGATGCCATATGGGGACAACAAGCTCATGGCAGTGGCCCACGTCCCCATGGCTGCCCTGCTGGGTGCCAGGTGCTGCCACCTCCACCGTCTGCTCAGCGCTGGTTCCCTGCTGCGGCTGAGCTTGGCACCGACCCTCTGCCATGTGTTGGGTTCAGCAAAACCTCAGCGCTGGCACCGTGGGGTCCCTGTGGCCATTTGTCCTCTGCAGTGTGCCCGGAGCTGAGGCTTTGGGGTGGGCACAGGGATGGATGTGGGGGCTGCACTGGGGTGACATCGGGACCGAAAGCTGGAAACGTGAGATTTTGGTGCCGTTCTCCCTTTCTCCCTACGTGCGGGACGTGGTGACCCCGGCTCTGTGCCACCATCCCATGGCTGCGTGCTGAGCGTGCGGTGCCCGCAGTGCCGCTCGCAGTGCAGTTATTTTGGGCAGTGCACGGAGCTGCTGGCCCCGGAGGCAGCGGTGGAAGAGCACAGCGCTGTGGGGCCGGGGCTGCCCGGGGCTCTGCTGTCTCTCTGCATCAGTCCTGCCGGAGCTCCCGGCGCTGTGGTGTCCGCGGTTTGGCGGTGACGGAGGTCGAGCGGAGGACGTTGGTGAGTGCCGGGTGTCAGCACTGCACTGGGCTGTGGGGTCGGTCCAGTCCTGTGGGATCGGAGCTGCGTGGGGCTGAGGTGCTGTGTGGGGCTGGCGGCCCACCGGTGCTTTCTGTGAGTGTTTCACTGTTGACTTGATCTGAGGAAAAGGCTCCGTCTGTGCTGTAATCGCAGTGGGATCGGGGGCTTTGCTGTGCGTGGGAGCAGTGCCACCGGGTCCACAGCAGATGGGGTCGCATCCCCGCATCTGCACTGCGGGGCCATGTCTGTCTAATGGGGCAGCATCAACCCCATGGGTCTACATCTGCCTTGTGGGACCGTGTGCGCTCTGTGATGCAGTCTCCCTGCTGTGGGTCTGTGTACACCCTATGGGGCCATGCTTGTCCCTGTGAGGCTGCATTCCCACTATGGGGCCACATCTGTCCTATGGGGCCGTGTCAGCCATATGGAGCCGCATCCCCCCATCACTGGGGAGTGCAGACTGTGGGTCCCACTGTGACTCTGCCCTCTCCCTAGAACAGCAGCACCGCACCCGGCATGGAGCGCACGGCGGAGAAGCAGAGCCCGGTGGATTACGGTGTCCAGATCCGCTTCATCAATGACCTCCAGGAGCCCAAGAAGGCCCCGAAGGCGCGCGCCAAGCCGGGCTCCTACGGGGTGGCCGTGCGCGTGCAGGGCATCGCGGGGCAGCCCTTCGTCGTCCTCAACAGCGGTGATAAGGGCGGAGATTCCTTCGGGGTGCAGATCAAAAGCGACGGCTCCTACCCTGCAGGGACCACCAGCCCTCGGCCCCCGGATCCGCCCCCTGAGCCGGACCTCCCTGAGAACCCCTATGTGCGCCCACAGCCTTCCCACAGCATGTCGGATGAAGAGAATGGTGCTGCCCCGGTGCCCACCCGGCACAAACCCCGTAGCAAGATGGGGGCCGAGCTGCGCCGGACGCAGTCCCATAGCAATCTGCTGGCTGCTGCCAATGAGCCCATGGCCACCGGCTCCAGGAGCAGCAGCACGCTGAGCATTGCCCACCCCACACACCGCAAAGGCTCCGGGATTGGGGTCGCGCCCTCCTCAGACTCGGAGAGCCCAGGGTCACGGCACGCAGGTGGTGACATCGACACCGAGCCGCTCTCCTCGGTGAATTCGCTCATCAGTAAATTTGATGGCAAAGTGCCGCAGCGTGGCCGTGCGGCGCGGCGATCCCGTGTGGCCCCGGAGGAGAGGAAGCGCTCGCAGAGCCTGGATGCCCGCAGCTCCGTTCCAGATGGCCGCGCTGTGGGCGCCCCGTCCCCGTTGCCCACCGGGGCAGGCAGAGGTGGAACGGTGAATCGTGGCACTGAGGAGCGGCTGCAGAGCAAAGCCCAGACAGAGCTGCAGGTACAGGAGGTGTTGGGCAGCGGTGGCGGCGCTCGGTGTCCCATGGCCGTGGGGTGGGAGTGGAACTCCAGTGTGGGATTGGTGCCCAGTGCTGAGATCTCCATTCCGCTGGCAGCTGAAGTCAACGCCGGATCTGCTGCGGGACCAGCAGGAGGTGGCCCAGCCCAGCAGCAGTGAGGACCCCAAAGAGCTCATCTATGGGATCCTGAAGGAGGGGTGAGTGTCTCCAGACCTGGGTGTGGCTGTGCCACGTTGCAGGGCGGCTGGGAATGGCGATGCTGCATGGTTGGGTGTCAGTGGGTTGGGAACACAGCAGTTGGTGCCACATGGTTGAGTGCCGAGGATTTGGGGAATGACCGCAGTGAAGTGCTTGGGGTGCCCCCTCCTTCCTTGTGCCCATCCTGCTCCATCCCACACCCAACACGTTCCCTCTGCCATGGTGTCCCCAGGAGCAGGGACAGCGGCACAATGCTGAAGAGGAAGGCTGCACTGGTGCTGGAGAAGCTGCAGGAGGCGGCGGTGAGTGGGTTAAGGGCAGGGTTGAGGTTCTGGGGTGCAGGGGGTGGCATTGAGCCAGCGGTGTCCCCAGGCACCCACCAAGGGGAAGGCGTGCTCCCAGCCCCAGCACCACACGTTGGCCCAGAGGGTGGAGGAGCTGCAGGAAAGGTTGGACGAGGAGAGCAAGGTGAGGCCGCTGGGTGGAGGTGGGTGTCCCTTGGGTAAGGCTGCCATTGTCACCGCCATCCCCCCCATGCAGCTCCGCCAGAAGCTGGAGCTGACCAAGGAACGCAGCACCACGCGGGCGCTGGAGGAGGCACAGGAGGAGAGTGCACAGCTGCGGGCAGAGCTGGAGAAGAGAATGCAGGAGCTGCAGAGGAGCACCAAGGAGTAAGGGCTGCATGGGGTCGTGTTCCTGCAGCGCTGTGCTGGGTGGTGGGCCCCCCGCACTGTCCTCATCCAGTGGTGTGGAGCTCATCATCCCTTGAGCTGTGGATGTGGTCTGGATTTCCCTCTCCATCGGGGGGTCTGAGGACTCTGCTGTGCCTTGCGGGGTCTCAGGGCTGCTGTGCCCACAGGCTCAGGGAGGCGAAGGCAGCACAGACGCGAGCAGAGGAGCAGCTGAAAGCAGTGCGCACAGATATGGGCACGGCGGTGGACGCAGACGCTCTGTACAAGGTATGGCCACGTGCACCGCTCCACAACCATCCTTCACTGTGCCACCAACCACAGCGACCTCTGTGTTCCAGGAGCTGGACGAGGCCCGTGAGGAGCTGGAAGAGGCCCTGAGCTCCCGGCAGCGGTTGGAGGAGCATCTGCGGCAGCGGGAACGGGAGCTGACGGCGCTGAAAGGGGCTCTGAAGGAAGAGGTAGCCAACCACGACCGCGAGCTGGAGCGCGTGCGGCTGCAGTGCCACAGCGACATGGAGCAGCTCCGGCGCAGCGTGGAGGACATCTCACAGGTGAGGGCTCTGTGTTTGGGACCCGAGGCTCTGTGTCCTGCCCCATCTCTCTGTGCTCCATCCTTGGAGGAGCCTAGAGCAATCGGTGTTGCCCGGTGCTGAGGGGCCCCCTGCGTCCTTGGGTCACTTCCTGGGGGGCTGCTTTGTGTGGCGTTAAACCAGACAGAGCCTCAACGTTCCCAGAGCATTCCCTGGGCACAGTCTGAGCATCCTCAGGGCAGAGAATGCCTAGGCAGAGCCTGAGCATCCTTGAGAGCATCCCTGGAGAACCCTGGCAGAACATCCCCGGGCAGGGTCTGAGCATCTCCAGAGCATCCGTGGAGCATCACTGGGCAGTGCACCACTGCGCAGGGGCTCAGCATCCCCCAAGGACACCCACTCCAAATGTTCCCCCTGTTCCCCAGAACCGGGCCGACCTGGAGTCAGAGAAGCAGAAAATCGGTGTGGTGGTGCGAAACCTCCAGCGTGAACTGGAGGAGAGTGCCGAGGAGACGGGGCACTGGAGAGAGATGTTCCAGCGGAACAAGGACGAGCTGCGTGCTGCCAAGCAGGAGTGCGTCCCGGCAAATCAGGGCGTGCACTTGGGGCTGAGTGGGTTGCCAGACCCCTCCATCCCATACTCCCATTACCAGACTGCTGCAGGTGAAGATGGAACGGGAGGAGTTCGAGGAGGAGCTGCGGGAGCTGCGGGAGCGCTTCACGGCCACGCGGGAGGAGGTGGAGAGGGCGCGGAGCAGCGCAGTTGACCCCGGAGAGGTGGAAGCGCTGCGCACGGTGCGTAGCCAAGGGGGGATCTGGGTACCGTGTGTGCTCTGTCGGGGTCTCTGAGCCCATCCCATACCCAGGAGCTGCGCCGGGTGCGGGAGGCACAGCGGGAGCTGGCGGAGGAGAAGAAGCAGCAGGAGGAGGTGGTGAGGCAGCGGGAAAAGGAGCTGCAGGCACTGCGCAGCACTGTGCGGGATGAGGCCCAGAGCCACAGCGGAGCCATGGAACAGTGCCACCGTGACATGGAACGGCTGCGGGAGGAGAGGGACGAGGCTGTCAGGGTGAGGGGGGGATGGGGACGGTGATGGCATTGGAGTGAAGAGGATGGAGACTGAATGAGACTGGGGTGCAATGGGGAAGGGCTCAGTGCTGCCCAGCCGTGAGCCGAGGAGCAATCTCACCACGCTGCTGCAATGGGGCCCCAGTTTCACACCACATCTCCTGGGCTGGACTGGTGGTCGTGGGGCCAGGTGGCCCATCCTGTTGTGTGGCTGCGTTGCAGGCGAAAGTTTCCCTGGAGGGTGAGAGGGAGGCAGCGGAGGTGGCACTACGGGAGCTGCAGGAGCAGCACGAGGAGCTGCAGAGGAAGGTGCAGGGCATGGAGACGCAGCTGAAGGACTATGAGCGCATGGGAGAAAACTGGGAGGGCTCCCAGGCACGGCTCCGTGAGAAGGTCACCAAATTAGAGGTACTGTGGCTGTGGGTCCAGGAAGGACATGGGGTTTGGGGAGATGAGGTCATATTGGGAATGCGAGGACTTGGAGGAATGGAGGTGGCACAGAGGGACAGTGGAAGCACTGGGGGTACTGGGAGGTGTGGGGAATGTTGGGGAACTTTGGGACATCTGGGGGATGTTTGGGGACATGAGATCACAGCAGAAGCAGATGGCACCAGGGGGACACTGGGGATAGTGGGAATCATGGGGAGAGTGCTGTTCCCTGGTGCCATCCTCTCTCCCTCCCAGGCAGAGCGCAGACGCGCAGAAGAGTCGTTGGGTGAAGCTACAGACCGTGAGCAGGAGCTGCTGCGGGCGCAGCGGGCGCTGGAGATGCGTCTGGATGAGGCGCAGAGGGGGATGGCACGGCTGGCACAGGAGCAGCAGGAGCTGAGCGCGTCCCTCCAGGACGAGCAGAGGCAGAAGGAGCAGCTGAAGCGTGCCAAGAGCGAGCTGGAGGAGCAGAAGCGGCTGCTGGACCGCAGCACTGAGAAACTGAACAGAGAGGTGGGGAGCGTCTGCGCCTCAGTGCTCCGTCACCCCTCCATGGGGTGTGGGTACAGGGCAGTGGTCCTCACGGATCTCTTCCATCCCACAACCCACAGCCCCATCCCACTGGGAGGTCTCAGAGGGTGGTGGTCCTCTTGGATCTCCTCCAAGTGAAGTGTCCCATGTCTCGCTGGTCTCTGAGGTGCCCTGGCCAGGGTAGGGCAGGGTGCAGCACTGCAGGACTCTGCCCCACTCTTTAGATGTGCTCATCCCATTGGTCTGATCCTTCCCCGTTATGCTGGGATGTCCCTGTTTGTGCTCACACTCCCTAAATCCACGCTGTCCCCATCGGTCTGCATCCAGGGTCACACTGTCCTTTGCTTTGGTGCACTTGCAGTGTCCCAATGCCTCCCAGCTCCCATCCCGTGGGCTCCTGCCAGTGCCATGAGCAGCAATGTCCCCCCAGCCTCATGCGTCTTTTCCCACCTGTGGTCCCATTGCTCTCCCACAGCTGGAGCAGATGACAGAGGAGTCCAACCGCTCACTGGCTGCACTCAAGGCTCAGCTGGAGGAATGCAAGGAGAAATCCCGCAAGGAGATCACTGATTCCCAAAAACAAGCCAAGGACTGCGGTGCCGAGATGGAGAAGATGCAGTTCAGCGTGGGACGGCTGCAGGACGAGGTACAGCAGGGACTGGTGGCCACAGCCTAACTGTGGCCCAGGTGGCCGTGAGGCTGCTGTCCCCACACCGCATCTCACCTCTGTCCCCAGGTCACCCGGCTGAAGCAGGCGCTGCAGGACAGCCAGGCGGAGCGGGACGGCGCTCTGCTGGAGCGGGATGTGATGCTGCAGCGCCTGCGTGGCCTCGAGGAGGAGGTGGATGCCAAGAGGCGCTCCCAGGACGATCGCTCACGGCAGCTCAAGGCGCTGGAGGTGGGTTGGGGCACCTGGAAAATGGGCTGTTGGCACACAGAGAGTGAGGCTGTGGCACCTGCAATCTGGGGTCACAGGTAACCAAAAATCCAGGGGTGGTGGTGCCCAAAGAGTGGGTTGTTGGATCCAAAATCCTGGGGTTGGGGTAACTAAAAACCAAAGGGGTCATAGTTTCCCAAACACTGGGTTGGGGCACCCAAAATCCGGGGTCTGATTGCCTGAAAATGGGGGTTATGCACCCAAAATATTGGGTCAAAGTGTCTAAAATGAAGGTTGGGGCACCTGAAAAATCAATGGTGCCCAAAACTTGGGGTCACAGCACCCCAAAACCAGCCCCTGGCACACAAAAGCCAATTTTTGGCACCCCAAAACCAATGGATCTGTAGTGCCCAAAAAGCATCCAAAAAGGCACCCAAACCCACACCTCCACCTGCTCCCTGCAGTGCTGAGCACTGACAGTGAGGGGCAGAGCGTGCTCAGCCATCCTGCAGCTGCACGGGGCTGCGGTGCCGCAGGACTGCACCCGTATTTCCAGCCCTGTGCAATGAAACCCCACAAATAGTGGTGAAGAGCCCTTCTCCCACCACCCCGCTGCCGTCCCGATGCTGTGGGGCTGGCACTGACCTTCCGTGTGCCCGCAGGAGAAGTCCAAGCGCCTGGAGGAGGAGCTGGAGGAGGAGCGAAGCACGGCCGAGCTGCTGACCGAGCGCGTCAACCGCAGCCGTGACCAGGTGGGGCAGCCAGCGGAAATCCCGTGAGCGTGATGCAAAAACAATGCCCCAAATTATGGGGGGAGGTTGGTGTTTGTGCAGGAAGTTGGAGCTGTCAGCTCCCAATTAACCCAACTGCTCATTAGCTTCAAAGCCGGAGCTGACGCAGGAGCTGTGGCACGGGTGGCGCTGGCGTTGCCGATGGGTTGCGCGAGCTGCGGCCCCATTGCTTGCAGCTCCGTGGGGTACACAGGGGCAATCTAGCCCCCTGGGGCTGGGCTTTGGGGTCGGTTATCCCATTTTTCATCCCCAAAAGAAGCACATCTCAGCAGAGCTTGATGAGTGATGACAGTGACCAAGGCCGTGGCCAAACCTCTCAACACCGCGGTATTGGCTTGGCCAATGGATGGCCCCATCACCTGTAGGGGCTCTCCGGGCCCCAGGGGCACCTTGTGGGGCTAGGGGTTGGGGAGCGGGGTGGGTGATTTGGGTGGGTTTCCTATTTCTCATCCCCAAACCGGGCACATCCCAGCGGAGCTTTGCTCCACGTGTCCTCAATTTGTCCAAATTGAGCAATGCAGTGTGTAGGTGGCAGTGAAACTGGAGCTTGGCTCTGACAGAGTCACCGTGTGATTTTTTCGGGGCTGTTGACTTATCATTTAGACAATGCTGCACAAAATCCCATTCCCACGACTTCAAAATAGCACCCAAAGCAGTACGGTTGGCTCTGACTGAGCCCTGGGGCACTGGGTTTGATCCATTGGTGCACCAAATCCATTTTGGCCTCAAGCTCGGCTGCACCACGGTGCCCAAAGGTCCCCACTCCCAGTCCAACCAGTTCAACCCTCCAGTGGAGAATTGCAGCCTGCACACCCAGGGGCGGGAGGCGTGGCAGCTGCTTGTTAGGAATAGAAGGAGGACAGCTAATTGGGGAGGGAGCCAGCAGCTGCTCGTTGGGATGTGTGACCAGTGGGAAAGGGTTGGGACCGGCGCTGCTGTGACCGAGGCTGTGGCCAACATCCCCATCCCCAGATTGACCAGCTGCGTGCTGAGCTGCTGCAGGAGCGCTCGAGCCGCCAGGACCTGGAGTGTGACAAGGTCTCACTGGAGCGCCAGGTGGGCACTGGGGACCGCATCCCTCATCCTTCCATGCCCCGAGTGATGGGAATGCAGTGGTGATGGGCACTGAGCTCCACGCTGTGCCATTACGCTGCGCCCTGGGCACCTCCCCGTGCCCACGTCCCTCTGCGTTGGATGATAATTGCCGCTGTATAACCATCCTCATTGCGGCCACTCCTTGGGAGAGGCTTCTGGGCTGGGATCTCCACCAGCACCGTGCCATCCTCCCCAGAGGCTGGTGTTGACTCGGTGGCTGAGGCTGGGCTTCAGCTGACCCGGTGGCCAAGGCTCGCATTGACCTGGTGCTTCCGGTGGCCTCCATGTCCCCTTCTCCCCAGAACAAGGAGCTGAAGAGCCGCCTGGCCAGCTCCGAGGGCATGCAGAAGGTGGGCGGCTCCATCTCACAGCTGGAGGCGCGCCTGGAGGAGCTGCAGGACCGGCTGCAGGCCGAGGAGAGGTAGTGGCCTCGTTGTCCCCACCACCACCGTGGGCCAGCCGTACCATCAGGTCCTCACTGCACCCCACACCTCCCGGCAGGGAGAAGAGCGTCCTCCACTCCTCCAACCGCAAGCTGGAGCGCAAGGTGAAGGAGCTGACCATCCAGATCGACGACGAGAGGCAGCACGTCAATGACCAGAAGGACCAGGTGGGCGGTGGGCACGCGGCCACCTCTGGCCGTGGGTTGGTGGCCCTGGTGTCGCAGCACCGCGTGGTGGTGGCCCCACACCCAGGGGTTTGTGGCGATCAATGGCCACGTCCCCACAGCTGAGCCTGCGTGTGAAGGCGCTGAAGCGGCAGGTGGACGAAGCCGAGGAGGAGATCGAGCGGCTGGAGGCTGCCCGCAAGAAGGCGCAGCGTGAGCTGGAGGAGCAGCAGGAGCTCAACGAGCAGCTGCAGGGCCGCATCAAGGCGCTGGAGAAGGAGGCCTGGTAGGAAGAGAGGCTGCCCCCCAGCCTCGCCGTGCTCCATTGCCCCATGGATGGGCCCCATGCCCTGGCCGTGCCCCACAGCCCCACTGAGGCTTGGCCCCCAGCTCCATCCCTCCGTGCTCCACACTCAGCCCCCTCCTCCTTCCCCAGGCGCAGAGCTGCCCGCACGGCCGCCGACTCCTCGCTGCAGGACGATGCGCTGAGTTCCGATGAGGACCTGGATGGCGCCTATGGGCCCTCCTCCATCGCCTCACTGCTCAACGAGGCCAACCTGCAGACCAGCTCCTGCTGAGCCCCACAGAGCCCCCAGGGCTGCGGGAACTGCTCAGAGACCTCCGGCCCCCTGGGGTCGGCTGTCGGCCCTCTTCTCCTGCGTGGCTTTTTGCCCCTGGGGGACCCAGGGTTGGTGGCTGTGAGGATGGAGCCTGTGGTCCCCAGGGAATGCCACCGCCCCTCAGCTCCAATTTATTTTTATATGCAATCATCTCCCTCGTTCCTCACCGCTCTTTTCCCTCTCAAAGTGCTGTTTTCAATAAAATGGACCATGCCAACACCAGCAGAGCCCATGGCGGCGGTGCAGGACTGGGGTGCAGGGTGGGGGCATGCGGCTCCCTCCTGCCAGGCTGGGTCCTGCTCCAAGATGCATCCTCATTATCACTAACTAACGAGAATGGGAGCTGTGCCAGGTGCTAATTAGCACCATTGTGTTGATTGGCAGTGGTTACCACAGTTCCCCTCCATGGCCTCCAGCGGGCCGCACTGCCTCTGTCCCAGTGCTGCCTCTGTCCCCGCTGCCTCAGTTTCCCCACCTGAACTCAGTGTGGTGGCAGTGGGGCCGGGGGGACCCCATCCTGTCCCTGTGCCACATTTTGGACCCCGCACCCAACCCAGCACCCACTGCAGCACAACCAGGCTGGCTCTTCCCAGCAGCGCGGCGCTGCACCGTGCAGTGGAGCCGTTTGGCTCCTGGCATTGTTCCTTACACCACGGGAGGCTCCGGGTGGGACCCCGCGGCCCCACTGCTGGATGGGGCCCAGTGAGCTGACGGCACTGCCAAGTGGCAATGGGTGCCTGCACACCAGGGTCATCGGTGGGGATGAGTGGGGCACAACCTGCCCTGGCACGGCTCGGCACAGGACGCTGCAGCTTGGCTCTGCTTTGGCACCAGTTCGGCACAGCTTTGTACCCAGCGCCCCCAGCGCAGCCCAACGGCCCCGTGGGTGTGGCCAACGAGGAGGGGGCGTGGTCAGAAGGAGGGGGCGTGGTTTGAACGCAGATTTAGCGTAGATTGGGTCGTGGCTTGGAAGAGGTGTGGCAAGTGAGGGGGCGTGGTCAGGATGAAGGGGCGTGGCCTCATCACGGATACGGAGTGCTTTGGGGAAGGGGCGTGATTCGGTGTGGGCGTGGCCTCTGCGCAGAGGAGGCGTGGTCAGGAGGGGGTGTGGCCGTATATAGGGGCGGTGTGCGGCGCGGGGCCGCAGTCGGGACCATGAACGGGGCCATGAACGGGATGCGGGGCTGGTGCGCAGTGCTGGACGTGCGGCCCCACGGAGAGAGCCCGGTGAGCGGGGACCTTCCCGGGGCATCCCCTCAGTCCTCCCCTTGACTTTGGGTCTCCCCACGGCACTGGGGAGTGGTGGTGGGGTCAGGGGGTAGTGGGACGCAGTAGGGCGGTGGGGTGGGATAAGGCAGTAGGATGGGGAGGTGGGATGGGATTGAATTTTGGGATGATGTTTCAGGATGGATGAGGCTTTGGGATGTCCAGGTTTGTCCCCATGGCTGTGGGGCAGTGGAACCTGGCCTGGGTGGGCTGGGAGCTGCTCTGCGTCTCTTCCCTCTATCCCCTTTCCTTCATTCCTACTTCCATGGTTCTCTTTCCCATATTCCCATTCCTGTATCCCTGTGTCCCTAAAGTGCCCCTAAAGAGGCTGAGTGGATGGGGACAGAGGAGCAGCTCCTGAGCTGCACAATTCCACTGGGACCCCATTGGATCTATGGGGTCCTGGGGACCCCCAGCCCTCCCCATTGGTCATTGGTGCTGAATTCTTTAAGCTCGTGGCCGTGTGCTCCCGTCGAGAGGCCCCGTTCCCGGCTCGTGTTTTGGGATTACTCACTGCTTACAGAACCACCCGTGTTTTCCCTCCCCTATCGCTCACTTTTCCTCATTGCAGGCAGTTGCGGAAGGGCTCCGGGTGGGGCTGGCAGTGACCCAACACCGCAGCTCCATCCCAGCACGGGGTGAAGCTCTGGTGTGGGGCCGATGGACGCCGCTCACCCCACGGCTTTCTGTCAGTTTTTGGGGCACTGCGGCGTCCCCGTGCCCGGCCCCACTGGGTGAGTCAGCCCCAATTCCCGCAGCCTCCTCCCGGCCTTATAAGGAGCGGCGGCGGCGGCGTTGGGCTCTTTTGGTTAATGGGTTATTAGGGTGATAAGTGCCTGTGTCACGCCGGGCATCTCTGGAGCTCGTTGCTAATTAGTGCCGGTGATGGCCCCTAGGTCAGGTCTGGCCTGTTCCTGCTGAGCCTTGGGATGGGACTCACGGTATTCATCGGCCCCGTGGGGTTGTGTTGAATTTGGGGATGAGAAAAGTGCCAAAAGGTTAAAAATGGTCTTCTGGAGAGTTGGCCTCATCAGGATCACTTGACTTCATCTATAGGGAAATTGCTTCTTGCATGGAACGACCTCGTGTAGGGGGTCTCCTCTTTTGTGGTGTTTGGTCCCAAACAAGAGGTGTGGATTTATGGAGAGCTTTGGGTCCCGGTGGATCTGCGTGGCCAGCATCAGACAACCGCGGTGCGAAGGGGGGAGCGGGCGCCGTATGGGGTTTGGGTTCTGTCCAAGCATGAGTTGAGCACGAGGTGCCCCATTACCACTCTTCCTCCTGCGGGAAATGCCCAAATCTGCTGCCCTCCTGTTCTGGGGTTCTGTGCTGGAGCCAGCATGGGGCATCCCTGCAGCACTGTGCTTCCTACTGGAGCCCAAGCCAAGGTGATGGTAACCCCCACTGCCACAGGGATTGATCACAAACCGAGGCACCATAGGGACGGCAGTGAGCGCGGAGCCCCAGGATCCTGGTGTGGGAGCACGGCAGAGCTCAGGGACCAGAGCTCAGCAGCACCTCCAGTGTGCATTGTGACATCCAACATCCCCTTACAGAGGAGTTTGTGCTTCGCAGCCCCTCAGGGGCGTCCCCAGAAGCCGCCGCGGTGCCGCACACTGCAGTGCAGTAGGGAAGGAGCAGTGCAGGCAGAGATTGGCTGCTCTGGAGCGCTTACAATGCTGCAGAGAAGGTTCCTCCCAGAGCAGCCCTACAACTCCCAGCCAATACTCCATCTGTGGCACACAGCACTGGGACTGCAGGGCCTGCCCGTGGCTCCTCGCTGCGACCCATCTGCGTCACCCCCATGCTGGATCCATCTGGAATTGGGTTCTATCGTGACAGAAGCACCCTCATGCTGACGGCTGCGTCGCTCTGAAGGCAGTGATGGAAATCGGCGTTGTGCTCCTTGCTTATCGCGGCGCATCTTCCCCGGGAGCGGGATTCCCTCGGAGCGTTGGCAGCACCGCACCCTCGCGTGGGCTTATGGGGCCAGGGACGGCGTGGGATCCTCCGGTTGTAAACAACACTGCCAGTGGGGCCACGTGGGGCGGCTACCGGAATCGCTTCGCTCGGATAGTTCTGTGATTCCGTGATCTCTGAGGTCACTTCCAACCAACCGCTCTGACCCCACTGCTCTTTAGTCTGTAGGATCCCTTCTGACCCAGCCGTTCTATGATTTCATGATTCTGTGAGCTATGGGGTCCTTCCAACCCAACCGTGCTGTGACCCCTTAACTCCGTGATTCCTGTTTGCTTCCTATGTCCATGGAGAGATGCGGGACGTTCTGCATGCAGGTGCTGCTGTGAGCCGCTTCCCTGCCCTATAAAACCATGGGCACTCCTCTGACCTCACCAAATGAATGCTGTGGGTGCTGTGGCTGCTGTGTGAGCTGCGCATCCAACTTGGCATTTTTTCCAACCGCTTCGACCTTCTTGTCTCTTCCATAGGAAAACCTTCCCTGGAGAAGGGGTTGTGGGGTTAAGCAGTCAGTGCTTTGTGCAGGGTAGAACGAAGGGGTCCCTGCAGGAGGAACCTCCTCTCCCAGCAGCCCAGGCAAAGCGAGAGCAGCGTACACACAATATTTTGGAAACAAACCCACGGCTTGTCGAGACTTGGGCGGTGCAGAGCGCTTGGAAGCGGAGCGGCACAATCCTTTGGCGCTGCTCCGAGGGTGACGTGGCCAGGCGTGGTGTGGGCCAGGCACCGATGGGGCTGGGTGTGGGGTGCTGAGCAGCCCCAGAGCACTGCGATCTGCTGTGGGGTTGCCGGGAGCATGAGTGGCCCTGGAGTTGGTGAGGTCAGTGTGGGATGGGTTTTGGGGGCCAAAATGGGGCAGTTTGGGTGTTGTGCGCCGCTTTACGGTGTTCTGTGTCCTCTGTGCCGAATGCCACCGGAGTGCCCACATTGGGAGGCTGTGCTGCTGGGGAGGGTTTGGGCAAGCAGCAGAGCTGCTGATGGCCACGGTCCCTCCCCTCAGCTCCAAGGGGTCGATCTGGCTCTGGCTGTGTGGAGAGGGTAGGGGAGGAGGAGGACCTGAGCTGCTTTGCCACTCTCTGGAAGGGTCCCTGGCATGGTGGCCGCGTTATGAGTCCAGTGGCTCCTCTTTTGCACTTCCTCCTCCTTGGCTCCTCCAAGCTCCAATAGCTGGGTGGGTGTCACTGCTGTGCGATAACTCACTCGGTTGGAGCTGGGTGTTGTTCTGAGGGCTGCAGCTTCCCAACCACTCCGGGTGGCTGTGACCCGAATCCCACCCTCTTGTTCCAGGAGAGTGTGAAGGTGCTGAGGCTGACGCTGCCGAATGAGCTCCCGGGCGAGCGGCGCGAGCAGGCGAAGCAAAAGGTGAACTCCCATCAGCTCAGGGACACCGCGAGGGGTTGGCGTCCGTGTGACCCAGTGCAGGAGTGCGAGTGGGCGCTCCGAATGGGGCTGTGGGGAGGCGACTGGCCCTCAGGGGATCACAGATCTGTGCTCTGGATTGGAAGGGGCCCTTAAAGGCCATCTGGTCCCCCCCTCTGTGATGAGCAGGGACAACGTCCCCTTGACCCAAACCATTTATTTGGACATAATTCTGAAGGTGATCTGTAAGGCTCCTTCCAGCCCAACCATCCCACGGTGCAGTGGCTGATCATGATTAAAGTTGTAGAATCATGGAATAGTTTCAGTTGGAAGAGACCTTTAAAGGCCATCTGGTCCAACCCCCTGCAATGAACCCACACCCACAGCTTCGTCAGTGCTCACAGCCCATTAGCCTGACCTTGGGTGTCTCCAGGCACGGCACCGCTGCCCACATATCCCTGCAGAACCTGTGCCAGTGCCTCACCGCCCTTCTCGTAAAAACCTTCTTCCTTCTACTCTGCCTAAGTCTCCCTCTTTTAGTAGGAAACCGCTTCCCCTCGTCCTGTCACACACACACACTGCTGAAGAGTCCATCCCTGTCTCTCTTACAGCCTTTTAGATCCTGAACACTGCCCTCAGCTCTCCCAGAACCTTCCCCTCTCTGGGCTGCACAGCCCAGCTCTCAGCCTGTGCTACAGGGAAGGTGTTCCATCCTATAGATCGTTCCATCCTCATTCCAGCTCTGTGTGCTGGAATTGCAGCTCCCAATGCATTCAGCACTTCAGAGTCAGCTCCTTGGCTGTGCTGCTTTGCTGCAGCTCACAGTACTGATTTGCCTAGTGCCAGGCGAGCTGTTCCAGCCAGGCTGGTCCCAGAGCTCTGCTCTTTGTGTCTCACAGCCGGTGGGAAAAGCCTTCGCCATGGTGGCCAACAGATCGAGCAATGGCCACGCGCTGGCATCCGAGCGCATCAAGTCCAACGACGGCGATGAGGAGATCATCAAGGTGAGTTCCCAGTTCTCGGGGCTTGTTCAGCAGTAAGAAAACTGGGGAAAAAAAGGTGGTACTGGAGGCTGAGGGGCACCCATTGTTTTCCGAATGCGATGGGGAAAGAGAGTGTTGGAAGAGGAAGGGCAGTTGTCGGCTTCCAACAAAGTGGGGAAAGAGAACGGCGAAGTGGGAGCGTGCAGAGTGCACCGGAGGGGTTGGGGTCGGCACGGACGGTTCTGTCTTTCAGGTCTATCTGAAGGCGAGGGCCGAGGGCAGTGCAAACCATGAGGAGCACGTCAGCCAGCTGAAGAGCGAAGTTCGGCACATCCAGGAGGTATCCCAGACCCCCAGGGGCTCGGGCTGCGTTGCTGCACCGTGCTGTGCCAAGCTGTGCCGCACCGCGCTGGCAAACTGGCTTAACCCTCCAGTTTGTTGACTTGCCCGTACAGGGCAGTCGTCTAATCAAGTGCCATAAATTAATTCAGCCTGACTAATTGCTCTGCTATATGGACTGAATTTGAAGAGAATTGCACGATGACTTTCCCCCAAGGCTGTCCCCTGCGTGCCTGGGTGCGGCGGTGCCTCTCGTTAAAAGGCAGTTTCTTTGGAATGTCTCATCTCCCAAAGTAAACTGGTTGATGAGCTCTGGGCCCATTAACCCTTCCTCTGCTCCTGCTGGGACATGGCTGCTGGGGAGGCAAAGAGCTTGCAAGACATGGAAGTGGTTGCGTGGTGGTTCTGGGCCACATGATTTAGCTAAAAACTGGGGAAAAGAATTGGGAAAAAAATTGAAGGGGAAAAAAAATGAAACAAAAAAGGAGAGGGTTAAATTTGGGTTTGCTCTCACATGAATTTCTGTGCTGAATTTCTCTGCTGGCCCCAGGACATCTGTAATCCTGTACATGAAGAGACAAGAATTAGCTCAAGCCGTGAGCCACGATGGTGGCTGCGGGGTTGGGGGGGATGGAGCGGAGAGGATGGGCTGCTTTCTGCCCCACTGCGTCATCCCCAGCCCCGAAACCAGACATACAACCGAGTGGTGTGTGACTGGGAATGGAGCTCAGCACCTCTGGCCCCAAAACCAAGCAGCGCCTTATGGGCGCAGGGCTGAAGCTGCGCTGCTGTGCCATCGGAATGCTTTTCTTGGTGAAGGGCTGGGGCGAAGCTGCGCAGCACTGTCCTGCTCACTTTCTCTGACTAATTTGGGGAGCTGCACATCAAGACTGTGCATGTCGGAGTCCTGCAGGGAGGAACAAGGGTCTTCCCAGCACTTCAAAGGTGTGATCGATGAGTAACACAGGAAAAATCCTCCCCATTGTTGCTATCTTTTGGGTTTCTTCTGCCCATGAGTGTGAGAAAGCCGCTGGGCAAGGACGGCGCCCTCACAGCAGAGCTCCCGTAGCACGCAGTGTAGGGACGCGAGGGATCGCGGGTCGGTGCTGGGCGTCCTCGCGGCCCCCGCGCCCTTGTTTGGTTTCTTTGGGGTTGAAGAACTCTGTGGTGTGGTTGAGCTAAATCGACTTGCCTTTGCCAGGCTAGAAGTTTTTTGAAGAAGCTGCGGGAAGACTTAAGTAGTAAACTTGAGAGCAGACAAGGAGATAAAGAGCACGCACAGGTAACGGGAGCGCGTCTTGGGCGTTGATTGACACGCGCTTAGTGACACAAACAAAAAGATGTTGTCTTTGGGTCCAGAAAGTAACAAAAGGGGCCTTACAGATTACGGTGCTTGTGGCACCCGCTTGGCAACACCCATAGAATCATAGAGCATCCCAAGTTGGACGGGACCCATAAGGACCACTGAGTCCAACTGTTAGAAATCCAAGTTGAAAGGGACCCATAAGGATCACTGAGTCCGACTCATAGAAACCCCAAGCTGGACAGGAGCCGTAAGGATCATCAAGTCCAGCCCGTGGCTCCACGAAGAACCACCCCAAAATCAGACCCTGTGTCTGAGAAGACACCTACAGGTAACATGAGAAACCGGCACGAGTGGGTGAGGAGTCAGGACGTGGGACGCATTGGCACCGTGCGCGCTCTGCATGCTCCTCTGCCAGAATCGGGGCCGGGATTGCTGTGGGGCTGTTGGGGGTGCGTCGCTGTGACGATGATGTGACAGGGCTGGTGCTGCTTGTCCCATGCAGGTGGTGCTGGAGGAGCAGAACGGGAGCTGGCTGCATCCCGAGAGGCTCTGCGCTGAGCCCTGGGAGGAGCAGGTAGGTAGAACAGAGGGGACATCAGCTTTGTGTGTAGGAGCACTGGCTTTAGTTTTCTGTCCTCAGGAACAGGTCAGGCCCTTCTGCCTTTTCTCTAGCAAGCTCTTGCAGTATGGTTTTATCAGTGTCAGGACTGAGTATGGCCCAGAGCAACAAAAGTCATAGAACCATCGGGATTGGAAGGAATTGCTTCCACCATCCCTGCAGCCTCCATGGGGCTCCCCCCAGCAGTTCCCTGTCTGCCTGGAACCGGGCTCGGTGCTCCAGCTGTGCCCTCCCCAGGGCAGAGAGAAGAGAGGAGTACCACCCTGCCCTGCTGGCCCTGCTCTGCACAGTGCATGCCAGGGAACAACTGGCTTTCCTGGCCACCAGGGCACACTGCCGGCTTGTGATCAACTGCTGGCCAGCTGTTGGTCAAACAGGACAACTGGCCATGAGGACACACTGCTGTGACCCGGGGTCGACTGTTAACTCTCCACTGGCCAACTGTTAGCCAACCAGGACACCATTGGTCTTCTTGGACACCAGCATGGCATGCTTCTGGCTCATGGTCAGCAGTTGGCCAACCATAGGTCAACCGTTTGTCAGTTGTTGATCAACCAGGACTCCCAGATCCTTCTCTGCAGTGCCCCTTTCCAGCAGCCCCCAGCCTGCACTGATGCTGTGATTTTCCTCCCTGGGTGCAGAATCCTCTTGGTGATCCCCATCAGGTTCCATTTCACCTGGCTCTCTCAGGGGCAGGGCGCGTTGCCTCGAGGGCTGGAGGCTGGAGCCGGGTGTGGGAGAGGAGGGTGGGAGCTGAGGGGGCTCCTTGGGCACCTCCTTGATGCTGAGTCTCCCCTGTTAATGTCCCAGCAGGATGAGGATTGTTCAGGAGATGACGTAGAGAAGATGCGGCAGACAGCGAGGAGGCTGTTCACGAGGCTGCAGGAGGCTGAGAAGTGCCATCAGTTGGAGAAGAAGGACCTCGAGGTGAGTGCATCGGGCATTTCCCCATTCAGAATGGGATTCTGAGTTGGTTTGGTTTCATTTTGGAAGCCACAGGCAGCTCTCCCATCAGCCAGCATTGTTCCATCCACGTAGTGCTGTGCCCTGGCTCCTGCCCTCCAGAGTTCAGTGCCACTGCAGCTTCTGTCCCCTTCCCTGGGACGGGTCAGGACACAGAGGCTGTGCCACTGTCACCAAATGGCTGCTGTCACCTCCACATGACAGCTGCCCTCTGCCAAGTTCTGCTGGCACAGCTGCCATGCTGTGTGGCCCCTCAGGTTGTGTTCCTGTGACATCCCAGCTCCCATCCTGTCCCACAGACCAAACTGGTCCCAGGAGCTCAGGGTCTGCCCTGAAGTTGGTTGAACGGCTCTGGGGGCATGGCCTGGAGCAGCAACCACATCCTCCAGCACAGGGACATCAGTGGTGACACATGTCCTGTCCTCTGTGCAGGAAGCCACGTGTCATAGTGCCACGCAAGGATCTTTTGGGCATTTTTGGTTGGATGTGATGTCGAGGGCTCTCAGCCTGGACAGAAGCATTGGGGATGGGTTTGGGGATCTCCAACAAGGCAAGTTCTCCACTTGCCTTGGAGCCCAATTCCTGCGCTGTGCACAGGGCACATTTGTCCCTCCGCCACTCTGAGCACTGGTGCTGGCTCTCAGGGTTGGTTCGGAGCAGGATGATGGCCCCGCGCCGCACGTGGCTCAGAACAAACATGTTCCTCATGTTGGAGGTGTGTTTCTTGCAAAAGCATTTAGGCGCTCGCTCCTTTGAAGTGCTTTGAAGCTGAGGAGCTTGGCAAAGAACCTCTCTCAGAAGCATGCCAGGCTGCTTGCCTTCAGCAAAACCCTCCTGCCGAGACTCCAGAGCACAGCAGGGCTCGGAGGCTGTGCTGGGTGGGCGCTGAGGGCTCTCTGTCCCTTTGCCCCTTTGCAGAGGACGGTGTCACGGTACCGGGAGGAGGCAGAGCAGACGAGCTGTGCTCTGCGGAGAGCAGAGAGGAGCGTGGTGGAGAAGGAGCTGCAGGTGGACGAACTGCAGAGGCTGCTGGCAGGGATGGAGAAGGTACCAGTGCTGCGGTCCTGTGTTCTGCCCTGTGCACAGCTTGGCTTCCCTGCTGGTTTATCCTAAAAGCCCTCATGAGCCAGCTGCTGGGAACGGCTCCATCCGACTGGTCCTGCTTTAGGCTTGCATTCCCCAGGTCTAGAAGATCTGGTTGGTCTGCGCAAAGCCTTCCTGCTGGGTATCCTAGAGATGAGCACACAGTCTAGACAGCTGCCCGGTTCTTCTCGTGGGGGCATTAACACAGCCTGCAGCCTGGGTTGTTAATTACCCAGCTGTGGGCTGCTCATAGTAGCATTAAATTTATAAATCTAACAGTGCAGCACAGCATGAAGCAACGTAAGATTGTGTTCGTGAGCCCGAAAGTGGAGCCGAAGAGCATAGAATTGTAGAATGCATGGGTTGGAAGGGACCCTATGGACCGCAGAGCCACGGGAGCACAGAATCACTGGGTCGGAGGGGTCCCTAAAAACCAGCTCCCGTCCCATTGCCACCTGCCTGCGTACAAAGCCGATCTCCCTCTTACTTATGGGCTCCCTTTAAGCACTGAGCTGCTTTGTGCCTCCCTGCATCCCAGGGTGAAGGAGCGGGACGTCTGCCGTCGGTCGCTCCGCGGTGCCTCTGTCTGTCTGTCTGTCCGTCCCTCTGTCCCGTGTGTAAGCGCAGGCTTGGCGCAAACAACCCGCGGGCGCCGCGGCAGCCTGCGCCGCATCTGCTCAGCTCGGGAGGCAGCCAGCATTTGTTGCGACTTGTTTCCCCCGCGCGTAACTCTGCCCCTCGCCCGCTGCAGGAGCACAGGACTTTGCTGCTGAAGATGAAAGACAGCGAAGCAGAGCTGGCACGGCTGAGAAGCGTGGAAGGTGACAAGCTCGCCGAACAGGACCGGTGAGGCTCAGCCTCTGCCAACGCCGCAGCAAGCCCACGCCGCCGGGTCGGGGTGTCAGCGCGCCGGGGCATGACTGCACATTCCTGCGCAGGGCGTGCTCGTCTCCGGCTTGCAAAACAGCTCCCGGGAGCTGACTCATCCCCGAATACCTCCCGCAGCGCGGCCCGGCGCTGCCGGGGACCTCTAGCGGCTGCCGTCCTGCCCTGGGTGCTCGGCTGGCTTCGCCCAGGCGGTATCCGTGTGCCGCGGGGGTTAATTGGCAGCGAGTCGTTACTGGCAGGCCTCGTTTGCGGGCTGACTCTTCCTGATGTTCCTGTGTCCCCGCGGTCTGCCGTCGGGAGGCTTTGTGGCTCCTGTTTGGATTGGGTTTGTCTCTGTGTCTGCTCACCTCGTCGGGTCAAAGTATTTCAGACCTGCATGGCTGTGGGGGGGATGGAAGTGGGGTGAAGCGTGGTTGTGCCCTCCTGGAAAGGGGTCTGACGGCGGCTGGATTCTCCCATTGTGTTTTCCCAGGTCGGCCAAGCTGGAGAAGGAGGTGGCGATGCTGCGGGAGAAGATCCATCACCTGGACGACATGCTGAAGAGCCAGCAGCGCAAGGTCCGCCAAATGATCGAGCAGGTGAGCGGATGGGCGCAGCGTGGCTGCATGGGGCTGAGCGAGGGGACGGCCCAGAGCCCTGTGTCACCGCCTGGAGCAGTGACAAACCCTGCACGGTGGTGGCAGTGGCGCCCCGGGAAGGTAATAAGAGGGCTCTGGAAGAGAAGAGGCTCAAACGGTGCAAACAGAAGCTCCTCACCCAGGGCTGAATTCACAGACTTAATTTGAGGCTTTTCTAATTGTTTTCTATGCAGATTGTGGAGTTAATGCTGTGGGTGTGAGGCTGGCTGAGCCGCCCTCCTTCCTCCGTGCTGCTTAACCCATGCACACATGAAAAGGGTTTTCTTTTTTAAGCCACCATGAACATTCTCTTGCAGCTCCAGAACTCCAAAACGGTGATTCAGGCCAAAGACGCTGTGATCCAGGAGCTGAAGGAGAAAGTTGCCTACCTGGAGGCTGAGGTGCGTCCCAGCAGGGTCGTTCTGGGGTCTGCTTTGGGGTCGGCGCACTGCTGGGTGCAGAGAGCTCTGGGAAGGGCAGCAGCAGCACAGCCGTCCCCTGGCGGTGCCACTTGGTGGTGTCACCTCGGTGTCACCAAGTGCTGTGGTGTGGCGGCTCCCAGCGAAGCCAGGGATGCTGTGAGCTCCGGTGGGATGTGAAATAACTTCATCTCGTGCATTTCTCTGGCAGCAGCGCCCAGCTTGCTCACAGAGCTGCACGTATGTCAGAAATCAGAACTGCATTCCAGCCCCTGGGATCGTAGCAAGCGTCAAACTTCTCTCCTTTTTTGGAGAAATGCTGAGCTTGCATCAGCACTTCAGGCATTTTTTTCCCTCCGTGGTGATCTGTTTTGCTAATCTTTGTTGGGGCAGTGTTTGAGCGAAAAGGCAGAGAACAACTGAGGACTCCCACATTCCAGGTCCTCCCTGGTTCCTTCGGGCAGCGGTTCCTGTCTAGGGCTGGATTTCCTCCTCCCTGATGCTGGAGCAGCCCCACATTTCCCAGCACAGATCTGTGCCAGCTGCTCTTTGCTCACTGTGGTTCCCATCTCTTGTAGAACCTGGAGATGCACGACCGCATTGAGCACCTGATTGAGAAGCAGGTCAGCCGGGGCGGCCACAGCTCCAGAGCACGTTCCAAGTCAGAGTACGTCAGCAGGTAGGTCTGGGGCTGAGCCCACAGCTCCACATCTCATTTTGGGGCTCTGGGAGGTGGTGCTGGGCGTGGGGCTGCTCCCTCTACCCTCGTGAAGGTGCGGTGTTGTTCTGCTCCTCTTTAGGGTGATGCAGTAAAGCAAAGGTTCCCCATAGGGGTGGTTTATGGGAAACGTTCACAGAGCAGTGCTGGGATCACCAATCCCACAGCTTTTCTAGAATCATAGAATGACTTGGGATGAAAAGGACATAAAAGGTCATCTCATTCCAACCCTCTGCCACAGTAAGGGTTGCCATCCACCAGACCAGGCTGCCCAGGATCCCATCCGACCTGTTGAGTGCTTCCAAGGATGGAGCATTCACAACCTTCCTCCCAGTTCCACCCACCTGAACAAACCCTTTTTCTCTTGCAGCAAAAGACTGATGGGCCCCAAACCGCTGCCTCTCATCCGAGTGGTGGAAACATGAGTTTCGAGGGTTGGAGCGAGATGAAGACTCTCCCCTTGTTCTCCTTGACCAGACTTCCCTGCTTGACTGTTCTCTGGCCTCTGTGCTCCGTCTGCCCTGGAGCTGCTGGCGGAGGGCTGCGTTCCGGAGGACAGACGCAGCCAGGGCGGTGCTGGCAGAGGAAGGAGGGCTGCGAGGTGCCCACGCTGCTGTCCCTTGGGGTCCCACGGATGCCAGCCTGGAGCTGGTGGGGACATTGAGGACGAGGTGCTCCCGGGTTGCAGGGCTGGGCTCGCTTCCCTGCTCGGCCTTGGGTCCACCGAGGCTGCTATGTGAGCAGCTTCTGAAGGGTCTCATCAAAGCGAAGCCGCCTCTTCAGACTGTAGCTTGCCAACATGGACTCGGGGTTTAAATTATTAAAAAATAATAAAAATTCACTTACAAACCAGGAAATCCTCTTGAAACTGGACTCCTTCCTACAATGAAGCCCAATGAGTTGGGAGCCTCCATCTCTGATCTCCAGCACATCTGCTGCTCCGAACCTGGCGAGGCTCCTGCGGCCAGAATCGGTGGATCGACAGAATCGACGCAGGCGGTAGATCAGCACAGTCAGCACAGTCTAGAGACTCGATGCCGGATCAACGCAGCCGATGCGGTGGGCGGATCGACGCAGTCGGCGGAGACTCAATCAACACAACTGGCGCAATTGGCACAGCAACACAACCAGTGGATCGGCACAGACCTCCTCCCAGTCCCTCTCTCGAGCATACAGAAATCGTGCCCGGTGTTCCTCTCGTGTTTAAACCCAGAGGCGGTTTGGTTTGTACCTATATTTATTTCAATAAATTATTGGTGTCTTCCAAGGATGTGGCGACAGGCATGATTGCTGCTGTCCAGCTCCAGGGGAGCGTTTGAGGACTGCCTGTCCCACGTTTGAACTGGAAAATACCAACCTGCTTCCTCCGGCCGCTCCATCGGTGCGTCGTGACGCAGTGCCCGCATTTTGGGTCAGCCCGGAGGAGCTGCTGTGCTGAGCGGGGCGGTGAGGCAGAGTGCTGTATGTACACCTCGCATCTGTCAATACAGAAATTCTCCTGTGTTAATCTGTCCGCCTGTGCTCTGTTAATGGGTGGTGCCAGCGGCGCAGACACGGCGGGGTGCGGCACGAGTTCGTGGTTTTCGTGGGATCATGGAGTGGTTTGGAGTGGAAGGGACCTCTAAAGGCCGTCTGCGCCCACCCCCTTCAGTCCGACCTCTTCTGTGGTTCTGAGAATGATCGTTAAGGACCCTTCCAACCCAACCGTGCTGTGGTGCAGTGGCTGATCATTAAGGTTGTAGAACCACAGAATCGTTTGCGTTGGAAGAGACTTTCAAAGGCCATCTGGTCCAACCCCCCTGCGATGAACGGGGACACCCGCAGCTCCGTGAGGAGCTGAGAGCCCCACGCAGCCTGGAGGAACGGCCGCGCAGCTCCAGGATCGGCGCCGCTGCCCGCAGGACCTGTGCCAGCGCCTCCCCACCCTTCTCATGGAAACACCCTTCCTTCTACCCTGCTTAAATCTCCCCCTTTTAGTCGGAAACCGCTTCCCTCGTCCTATCACACACGCACACTGCTGAACAGTCCATTCCCGTCTCTTACAGCCCCATTCCCGCCCCATTACATCCCGCACGCCGCTCGCATCTCCCCGCCCCGCTGCCCCCCCCGCAGCTCCCGCAGTGCCGCGCCAACTACATTTCCCATCGCTCCCCGCGCCCCATCGCGCTCTACGGCGGTTCGGACTACGTTTCCCATCACCCCTTGCGCGTACGGTGGCCGAGGGGGCGCTGCGCGCGTGACGGCGCGGCCCGGCGCTGCTCGCCAAGATGGCGGACGAGGAGGGTGAAGGGCCGCCGCGCTCGGCCGCGGCCCCGCAGCGGAACGGCGGCGATGAAGGAGCCCCGGGGGGACCGCGGGTGGTCCGCATCGTGAAATCCGAATCCGGATACGGCTTCAACGTGCGGGGTCAAGTGAGCGAGGGCGGGCAGCTGCGGAGCATCAACGGCGAGCTGTACGCGCCGCTGCAGCACGTCAGCGCCGTGCTGGGCGGGGGGGCGGCCGACCGCGCCGGGGTCCGCAAAGGAGACCGCATCCTGGAGGTGTGAGTACGGGGGGGGGCCGCCGCCGGGCCCGGGCTGCGGGGGAGGGCGGGTGTGGAGGGGGTGTGGTGGCTGCGTTGGTGTTGAGGGGGCTTGAGGGTGGGGGTGGGGGGTCCTGAGAGAGTTCTGGTGCGGCGGAGGGGGGTCCTGAGGGGGCTTGGGGGGGAGCCTGATGAGGCTGAGGGCTTCCTAAGTGCACTGCGGGGTTTGGGATGGACCCTGAAGGGTTTTGGGGGGATGCCGAGAGGTTGTGGGGATGACCTGAGGGGTCTCGGGTGGTACCCTGAATGGGCTGAGGGTTTTGGGGTAGTCTTGAGGAGGTTCTGAAGGGTCTGGGGGATTGGAAGGGATGTCCTGAGTGAGCTGACAGGTTTGGGGTGGGTCCTGAGAGGAGGAGTTGTGGGGGCATTTGAGGGGTCTCAGGGGTTCTGAAGGGCCTTAGGGAATTCCTGAGGGGGTTCACACAGGTCCTGAGAGGTCTGTGGGAGTCCTGAGAGGACTGAGCACACTGAAGTTTGGGGACATGTAGAAGGGGTTATGGGGTCTGGGCCATTTCTGCACTGAGGCTGTGGGAGGGTGCTTCATAGAGGAGGGTACTTTGGATGAGGGGTTGGAGGCTGGGAATTTCCCACAAGGATTTAGGGTCACTTGGGACTCCCCACATCTCGTGGGGGATCATTAGGGAGTGCTGTGTACACCCCAAAGAGGGGTCTGAGTCTGCTGTTCCCCTGTGGGGCTCTGCATGGGGCGGTGCTCCATTCCTTGCGCTGGAGGCACTTATAGGGGGCTTCCCCTCTCCACCCCACGTGGGGCTTTTAGGGACAATTCGGGGGATGCTGCGCCAGTGGTGTATCTGAGAGCTTTGGGGGATCCTTTGGGGTGTGGGGATGCCGTTTCCATCTCTGCTGTGCTGACATTTTGAGGTTCCCTTTCTTTATGGTGTGCAGGGATTCTCCCCTCAGCAGTGAGCTCAGGGACAGCTCTGGGGTCCATGTGGGTGCCAAGGGGATGGGGTTGAATTGCTGCTGGTTCCTGATCCTGACCCCTTGGTTGTTCCTTGCAAGAATTACAGGGAATGTCTTCCCGTAGAAATGCTTCGGTGTGTTGAAACCCCTCCTTTCTCTTTCCTAAAAGATCCCATAAGTGTTGATTTTGTGGGCCAGCATCAGGCACATTGCCGTGCAGCTCTTTGGGTTGGTTCTGCCCGCGCTGAGCAATCTCCGCTGTTCTTTACACCTTTGTACTTGGTGCTGAGTTGGTTAAGCTCAATTACTTATTAATTACAGGGATTTCCCAGCAGCAGGAATGCCTTGCTGCCGGGCTGTGAAGGACAGCACAGGGCTGGAGCTGGCTGTGCCCTGCAGCAGGCCCTGGGATTCGGCTCTTCCCAGTGACCCAAATCCATCCCACTTTGATTTTCTGCGCAGCAGAAGCGTTTGGGCTGAATTCTGCACCTGGAGGAGCGACGTGAGAACAGCTCTTATTGACCCAGGGAAATATCTGTATGCGTTGCAAGGTGCCAGGTTGGAAGAGCTCTGTCTTGTGGGAGATGCTTAAAATGCGGTCTGTGAAGGAGGCACAGGACCGTAGGGGCTGGAAGGGACCTCTGTAGACCCCCTGAAGCAGTGCCCTGCAGCACGATCACATCCAGGTGGGTTTGAGTGTCGCCAGAAAGGGAGACCCCGCCAGCTCTCTGGGCAGCCTGTTCCGTCTTGCTGAGGAGTGGGATTTCCTCTCCCTGCCCATCGCCAGAGCGAGGCCACTTCCTCGTTTCCCCGTGGATCATCTCGTAGCACCCCGTTGGCTTTCACCCTCGCCCCGTATCGACTGTCGCGCTCGTTAGCTGCGATGCCTCAGTCAGCTCGCCGGCCCTGCGCTGCCTGTGTGTTCAGCAGGACGTGGGCATTAATTAGAGTCCAGCTCCTACGAGTCAGACCGAGCGCTCGTGAGCCGAGCAGGAAACAATAAAGCAGCCTCCCAAAATAGCTCTGGTTTCCCGTCCCTTGCGCCGTGGCAGACAGGGCTCCAGGCTCTGCGTTGTGGTTGTGCTGAGCAGCCTATGCAGAGCTAGGGGACACGGGTCTTGCTCCAAGCTCTGCCCAGGGTGTGGTGGAGGTTCTCTTTGGGTTCCTGGGCTCTCAGAGTCCTTCCTCACCATCCACTCTACACTCCTGCACCTCAAGTGCAGCTCTTGCTTTCCAAGGTTGGTTTTGCAACACAGCCATGGCACGCTCTCTAATCTCCTTAGCTCGATGTATGTTTGTGGGTGTTGAGGGCATTGGAGTCAGACAATGAGAGCTCATTTAGTTCTTGATTATCACCCTGAATGACAATCATAACTAATCTCGGTGGGGAGGAGCTCTGTGCTGCTGCTAGCTCTGTCTGCAGGGAGCTGGTTCAGAACAAGTCGGTGAGGATGTGGTTCACGATAACAGGAGCTCAGTGAGACCCTGGTGCGGGTGCGATGCCGCAGGGTCTCCTTCCCACCCATCCTGCAGAACAGGAGAGATGTTTGGTGTGTTGCTGACAGGCTTTCCACACTTCTTCTCTTCAGACTTTGGCATGGCATCGCCCCACCAGCTCTTTAACGGGCGCATGTCCATGTGGTTGTGCAGAACCTCTGCTTTGTCCTTTAGGAAGTGAAACTCTTTTTCTTCTCTTGGCCCAAAGTCGGACGTTGCGTGTCAGTGTGGCCCAGAAGAAGCTGGTGCTGCCTGGGAAAGCACGGAGCTGTCTGCAGGGGGGACGTGGCAGCGCTGTGCTGCTCGTGCGAGGGGCGTGCTAGCAGAAAACCACGGGGCGGTCAGCAGGCTTACCTGCACCAAAGGCTTTAAGGATGTCTCCTTAAGCTCAGGTGGCTTGGGGAGCATCCTTTCTTTTTCCTCTGGACTCCCTGGTTCTCACTGTGGCCCCATCCCTCGCTGTGCACAAAGCTTGAGGGACATCCAAGGAAAAAGCTGCAAATTGATGTCTTTTCTGGCGGGAGATAACAGCGGTGGGTAAATCAAGAGCCCTCGCTTGCTGGCTTTCCCATTAAGTGTGCAATTAAATAAATGAGAGAGCCTTTTTTATCTGCCTTGGCTTAACACTTCTGCAGACTATTCCGATAGAATGCTGTGTGTGCTCATGGGGATGAGTTCAATTACTGAAGCTGGAGGAATTCGGTATCTGCTGCCTCTGCTCCATCCATGCAGCCAGTGTGCCACACTCAGCATCCCACACCGCTTTCCTCGTGTGCCTTTCCTTGCCATTCCCTCTCGCTTTTCCACCATTCCTGAACTTCCCTCGAGGAGGGGTTGGTGGGGTCTGCATGAGCCAATACAAATCCTTGCTTTGATGTTAGCTTACGAAGCTGCACCCAAAACTCCAGCTCGGAGCTGGTCATGGGGCTCTTGGAGGTTGGCTGCTCTCAGGGTGTGTGGAGTCACTGTTTTGGTTATTGCTCCTGCTGCGGCTGGCATGGGCAGCATTGGGAGCTGTCTGCTGTTATGTTTGGCACAGGTTGAGCTTCTGAAGCGTTCGGATCGTAGGATGGCTTGGGTTGGAAGGGACCCCAAGGACCACCACGCTCCAAAAATGCTTTTTCTTTTTTCAGCAAGGCTACACGTTAAGTCAGTATTTCGTTTTCTTTTAAGTGATATTTAGTCGTGGACCTTCGGAAGCATTGCTGTTCTTTGCCTCCTCTCAGAGTGCTTAAAAAGCGTTCGTTTGCAAGGCATCATTGCTCATGTAATTGGAGCAGATGAATGAATGGCGGTGCTGCAGTTTGCTAGAGCAGAGCATATAAATGTGCACAGAGGTTTATTAAACTTCCTTAAGGCGTCCTAAGAGGCTGCTGTGAAAGTGGTCGTTCTCCCAGGCTCCTGCTTTCTTCTGCACAGAAGTGGGAACATCACTGGAACCTCACTTGGTGATTCCTTCTGAGGTTTATTTATGTTTGGAGGAATGCTGAGCGAGGTCTGG